TACCCCTGAAGGGATGAATAATATGAGTCACCTTGTGCCACTCAACTGCAGTACCCATCCTCTCTTATTATTGGCCATGTTGGCTAGGGATGATAGGAATTGTAGTTTAATCGTTCTTAAAGGGATTTCAGCAGACAACCACAACAATATATAAGCTTAGCCGCAGCAATTCACTGACGAAAGTTTCATCCAAAGATGAAATCATAATTTGATGGAAAATTAACTCTTCATAGGCAGGATAGCATTCTACTCTCGCCATTGCCTATTATTTATCAGGTTGATTTGCCAATTTAGCAGTTTAACCCAAAACAGGTCATTAAAATATTCCTTCTTGTGGGTGACCATTCATCTGTAAGCATTTAGGCCCAGAAATGAGCTAATAATATGTCAAAAAATATATTTTTTAAAAAAATGGAAGCAATCTAAAACCTGTTGTGGTTTCTTTAATAATGTCTGTGTGTAATTCATTCTATTTGAATAAAGCTAAAAAAATATTGCAATCAGCCTTCCCTAATCAAATACTATCCATATATGACAATCTGCAATGCTCATCACCCGCTGTATGTATGTATGACCCATCTCTTGCAACAGCTGGGTAACCCAGACCTTTTCCCACCCCAGACTTCCAGCCTTGGTCTTTCACATTACTATAATTATATGTTCAAGGCCACCCACTGAGTTCATGACTGAGCTGAGATCTGAACTCAGGTTAAAGTCCAGCATTCTGTCAACTGGACCACACTGGCTGACAATTGGCAGGACACCCAATGAAGGAAAGCAACATAGTCTTATTTGTGCTCTGCTCAGTGTTGCTCTGCTTTGACTTGCTGGAACACAACTGAAAGGCTGAACAGAGAAGCAACCAACCAATGGAAGAAACATACACTCACTGCCTGAAACATGCTACACAGACTGGAAGACAAGACCCAGCAGGTACATAAATGCATCAGCACATGCTACCAGCCTCAACACACACAGTAAAGATTGATGCAAGATTATTAGAAAATAAAAGAGCTGCTGGTCCTTAAGAATTAGTCCATTATAAACCCATGAGTATCACAGTAAACCTGTGGCAAGAGTACTTCTGTAGTTTCATGGAAGATATCTTTATTTATACTATAAATACACAGAAGAATTTATCTGAGGCATGTGATTAAATATATGCACAGAATTAAAAGAGTTAATAGGAAGAAGTTCCAAAATCAAGGCATTAAGCCTCAATTTGACCACCAACTAAATAACAGAAGCCCTTTCTTCAGAGATTTTTCTGCTCATATTTTGCTTATTATCATGAAAAAGAAAAGAAAAATGTGTAAGCATAAAAGCATGCATTGCTACATATGGACCCCAAAATTTGGCGTAAGGGGTCCCTTTGTGTAGTTTCGTCTAAAAATGGCTATCTTTTATATATGCATGTGAAACATATGTAGCTAAGGTTATAGTTATCATATGTATTTTCCTCCTCTTTCCAAATATTGTATGTAGCTGTGTGTTGTATTTGAAGTTTTTTTTATAAGACCATTGGGTCAAGTTTTCACAAATGGCAGACCAATAATAAATTGGTATTTAGACTTTCAAACGAGGGAGTTCATTCATTTTTTATTGTTCTTCTAGAGGTGAGAAAAACTAGAAAATTATTAGATCAGAGAGGATTTGACTAGTTTCTCATTGATATTTGTTTTATTATGTATGGCTTCCAATAAGGCCAATAATCTGAGTGGTGTGATCTTGGTGTTCTTTGAGTGTGGAGGTGTTCCTACAAATCTTTCACTACCAAACTAGGTAATATCAGCTGGGTTATGAAAAGTCTGCAGGAAAACAAGCAAGCTTAGAGAATACAGCAGGGGTGTCAAACTGCCAGCACACGGGCCGGATGCATCATAGCAAAACCGCGCCCATCCCATTGCCGGCAATGGCAAAAAAGTCGTGATATGTTGCGACACGTCATGTGACATTGCGAGTTTGACACCCCTGGAATACAGGAACCAACAGTTGAGCTGTGAGCTGTATATGTTCTATTCTAGTGGAATCTTAAATGGAGATACAGATTTTCCTGTTCGTCTGCTATTTGCTAGGAACTAGATTGCACTTAGGCTAGAGCAGGCATGTCAAACTTGTGACATCTCGTGACGTTGCGCGATGTATCGGAGCTTTTTCACCGTTGCCGGCAATGGGGTGGCCGCGGTTCCGGTATGATGAAACCGGCCCACGGGCTGGAAGTTTGACACCCCTGGGCTAGAGCTACATTTGCAAAACAATCAGGGGGTGCCAAACCACACATGCCTTATAAAGCTAATAAAGGAAACCAAAAAGCAATTGAAGAGATTCTTGGTTAGAAGTAGTTCTGGCATTGTCAGAAACAAACAGCCTGAGATCAGTCTAGTCTGTTACAGTAACAAGGAACAAGTTTTAATCACTCCTTCCACTCAAAAATTGGCCCTTAGTTTTACTATAAATAGGGCTTGCATTTTGTACTTGGCAATCACTGTGATTCTTTATTAACAGCTGTCAATGAAGTTACTTTACACAGATCTGCTCCTCTGAACATTGCCTGTGCAATTTACATTTCTGGTTTCATATAAGAGAATCCTGACATCCTTCGCTTCTGAACTGTTCCTAACAGTAAGCAGAAGGAAATGATTATTTAAAAACATAGTAGATACTGAAGTGTTGAAAATAGTAAAAGTATTGGGCAACAGGGTTATTTAAGCCATGCAATTTAATCCTATTCCTTAAGATAGCCTGCTGTCCTTATGACAGCGCTGCCCTTTCCCAAGAATCAAAGTAAAAATCTACTTTACTTTGGATACTGGAATTATCAGCTTGCATGAAAATGGTGGATTCTTGTCCACCTTGGGCAACAAAATGTCTTTGGTTAGCTCGGCTTCCTCTGCTCCTTAAAACTATTTTTAACTCAACCTTTGTGGCTACTGGAAAAAAGTAAACACAAGAGCGAATGCCCTGTTTAAAAAGCACACTATTAAAAGAGTGAGTATCAAATGGAAAGCAGATCTTTCTAAAAAAAACTATTTACTATCTGAAGAGTAAGCAAACCCATTTTACACTAACCAGTCAAATTCTTGGACTACAATGTAATATAAATTAGGTAAAACAGGCAGTGGTTTCCTCCTTTTAACTTGCTTGAATCATTCTCAATCTGACTTTAATCAGTCCTAATGACCATTTATTTCAACCACAGCAACAAACTGTTTTTTTAAAAAAAAAAATAGTTACAAGTTGGAAATCTGCCCAGTCTTTTTTTTTCAGGTTATTGCCTAGTGTATCAGACTTCTAATATATTTTTTTTCTCCTTCATTTGTTGAATTGACAAAATTAAATGCTTCTGTCAGATTCAAAAAAAGAGAGAGAGATGAAAACTAAACTTATTTATAGAATAACATAGTATAGGTATTAATTTCCTTTATATGTAACAATTGGCCACTTAAAAAAAATAATTTCCCTTTTATAAACATGAACTTAACCATTAATATATTTACAATAGAACCACTGGCCAATTTTACAATTATTTCTTTTGCTTAACTTATGCCATATGCTATTTTACATTACTTTACTTGTCCTTTCATGTTCAAATCTTGAAAAAATCAATTGGTTTAGGATTAAGGGAAATTAACTATTTTGTATAATTCAAAATCTTAGTAAGGTAAAATATGCCTATGACTTTTGAAGCCAAGGTTAGATGCAAACATAATTATGCTTAGAGTAGACCAGATGAAATTAGTGGGGCAAATTAGTCTTGACAAACCTATGTCTACTCTAATTCTATTCCAGTGATCTATAAATCTATTCCAATATATATACTGGAAAAAAGTGAATATTGAATAAAATAACAGAAAAACAGATTATATTAGGGGAAAATCTTATAAAAGTACATATAGTACATAATGAAAAGGGAATATAAAAATGCATATATTTGCAAAAAATTCATATGGATTTTCATGCACACTCTAATTAATATAGGGCAGAATGACCATAAGAATGAAAAAAATAACAAATCTGTCCTACTTCTAAATAAGCATTACATTTTCAACTAAAAATATAGCTAGTAAAGTGACCTGGATTGGTGTTTTTTAAACTACTTCCGAACTTGGAACACCAAACAAATAATTGGTTTATGCAGAACTTATCAATGGGGAAAGATGGGTTCAAAGACCACAAAAATCTTTTCTTGGATCTTGAGAACAGGTCAGGGGCATTTTGTTATTTTGGGATCAGTAATTTTCCACAAAATGCAATTTTAGGAACTCTGATCTAGATGAAACATCAGTGGGCTTGGGTTTTGTGGGAAACTATTTCTAATAATTTTGCAAAGTATAATTAGATTGTAAATATAAGCTCGGTTGATTGATTTGATTTGATTTTTATCTTGGCTTTATTAGTTTATAAGTAACTCAAGGAAGTAAGCATCCATAATTCTTTATTTCCCTCACCCTGCAAGTTCTATTTACAGCTGATAATTTATTCTAGTTCCTTGCAGTCAGTACCACTAACCTACTGAGTTATTTTGAATGCAGTATCATTTCAAAGCACTGAGTCTCCAGAAAACCAACTTTAATAATGCAGTGACTTATGATTAGAAATGAACATACATAACTATTTAACCTCCCCTTCTGTACCACAAACACCCATATGCTTTGTTTCTGTATCACTACAGTGGAATATAATTTATGGCACTATAAAAAGTTTTACAGCTAAAGCACAACGAAAGCTTAAGAGCCCCGTCCTTCTGTAACATAGCCAAGATTTATCTTGTTAACATTTATGTGTGGGATTACTCAGATTGACAAGAGCATTCATGGAGTTGCATTTCTATTGACTATCGTGCCACAGATGAAGTTCTACTTTAAAGAGATTTTATATTGCCCCTTCCCGCTTTCTGTGGAAACTTGTTTAAAAATGGTTTTCAGATTGTTCCATCATATTTTATTGTTTGAGAAATAAAATTTCAGAAATTTCCTCCATTTCAAAAGCTGGTACTTTACCTGATTTGCGTGCCCATGTAGAGTTCTTAAGATACATGCCACTCTTGTACATATACAAAACTCTTTCGAGATGAATGGCTGTTTCATCTATTCCCCACCGAAGTTCTCCTATAAGAAGGAAATGGGGGGGAAATGACTTAGAGAAGAAAATAAACTCTGTCCATACAGAAAGTAGAAAGAAAGGCACAAACCTATTATTTTAACTGATTGGGTGGAGGGAGGGAAGTAGGCGTGGGAACATTAAAGGAGGTTTAATTTCTCATGTTTACATTTCCACTTTGAAATTCAACCAGAATAAAATGAAACAAAAGATATCATTTTTATATGGCATGGTATGAAATGCAAAAGAACAAAAAGGAAATAGAATCATCAGGAGGCTGAAAAACACCATTCAGAATGGCTAAAGTATCTGAGTGGGGAGAATTGAAATCTTCATCCTAATCAAGAAATTGGAGGTCTTCCCAAGAAATTCAGTGTCAACGCTGCTAACATTGGATGTTCTTGCTTTGACAACAGATGGGAATGTAGCCATCTTTTCTCTTTCACTTTTAGAGTTAGATGATGCTGGGAGGGGGATGTGGATGAGAGTCCAGTTAGTCATAACAACAATAACTCAGCTTGATTTAGATTTAGATTTAGATTTATTTCATTTATACCCCGCCCTTCTCCCGGAGGACTCAGGGCGGCTTACAGCCAGTTAAAACAATTACACAAAATACAAATCTAAGATAAATTAAAAATAAATATTCGAATCGGCCGCACTATAAAATTTAAAATTTAATTAAAACCAATTTAAAATTACCCCTAGGCCAGTCCTGC